CGGCGGGCGGCCAAGGCCGCGTCTCCCTATCTTTCCCCGTCCCCTCCCGCGGCGAGACGAGTCCTGGAGGAGAGGGGAGAGGGGAGAGGGGCTCTGAAAGCAGCAGAGCCCCGGGAAGGGCAAAGCTGGGATGGGCAGAGCAGTGCTTTGTCCAGGCCGGTCCTAGAGATCAGCCCGTGTGTCAACTGTGTCCCATGCGAGAGCGCCCGGGCGTGCAAAGCTGTGTAACAGAGCAGTGGCCGAGGGCTCTGGCACTGGGGCTGACAGGCACCACTTCCTGCACAGCCCCCTGCACCATTTCTGGCAGGAGCAGAAGGGAACTGGCACAGCGCATCTGGGACTCCCTCCCGGCAGCGCTTGGCAGGCTTCAGTTGGCGTTTGAGTCCACTTGGGCAAACAGGACAAGGACCCCTCTTAGTGAGGGGTCTCTTAAAACTGGCTGTTCCAGCCCGGTCTCAACAGGGCAGCTTTCTTGGCCAGCTTCTACTTGGTTGTTTGGTGCCCTTTTATTCAAGTGCTGTACTTCGGCCAGGGAGCTGCCCCATAACTTCATGGTGAGCCATGGCAGTCGCCCAGCTCTGGCAGAGTTGCAGGGTGCTCTCTTCATCCTTCCAGCTCCTTTCCCAAATCTCTAAGGCAGGGCTTTCCCAGCTGCTGTGGAGTGTGACCATATTTACGGGCTGGGGGCCAGGTGAAGAGTAGTGCAGTAAGACCTGTGAATGTTGAGCTGAGAAATGGTACAAGAAGTCCCTGGCAGGGAATTTTAAGTGCTGGAGGTGACTTTGTCTTAACCTCTGGAAACTCCTGAGAGCTGGGAGCTGTTTTGCCGTAAGCCTGTCTCACTGCTCTCTGTGCCCCAGCTGCCTTAGCTGTAAGGAGGGGTGACTGGTATTTACCTGCTCTAAAGACTGCAAAATCCACTGATGGGAAGCAGTGAGCAAAAGCGAGGCAGCAGTATTGTTGTAGCTGTAGCCATAACGTAATGTTGGCTTCTGGCCTCTCCCATTATTTTTTCATGAAGTACGTTCAGCAGCTGATGGCAGCAGTTGGGTTAAGGTTTGGTCCTATCCCATTCTTTTAAGTTGCGTGATGTGCACAGGGGTTTCTGCTCGCAGTGGTCAGTGAGGTACACAGAATAGTGAATAGCCTTGCAAATCTGTGATGATCTTTGCAATAATGTGACCAGCAAGGTGGTTGCTGCGTGCCCTCAGGCGTGTGGTGCCTGGGGTACAGAGTGTACACGTGGCTCCCCCAGACTTCCTCACATGACATAGTGTCCATCTCCATGTCAGGAGCCATGGGCTATTCCAGCATCCCCTGGGGGATCCTGGAAGGAGAGGGTGAGTGAGGCGCAGGATGTCTCTCAGAGCAAAATGAACGGGGTTTATCTCATGAAGGCTTCTCGTGACAGGGAGGAACTCCCAGGACAGGATTTCCACTTAGCAGAGATGAGCCATTCCCGCAGTAGTCTCCGTGCAGTGCCGCCTGTACAGCTTTTTGTCTTCAGTACAAACCAAAACAACATCTCCCCCAGCACCATCACCTGCTCTCTTCTTTCAGATGGGGCATCCTCTTCTCCCATCCGCGGGACTTCACCCCCGTCTGCACCACAGAGCTTGGCCGGGCAGCGAAGCTGGCGCCCGAGTTCAGCAAGCGCAATGTGAAGCTGATCGCCCTCTCCATTGACAGCGTCCAAGACCACCTCTCCTGGTGCAAGGTATGGGGCGTGGGGAGGCACAAAGGGAGCTTGCACTGCTGCCTTGTTCTGAAGGCCAGAGGAAAAGCCCACACAGAACAAAGCAGAGGCTTGGAATTACATATCTGCTGAGGACAGTGTCCTAAGACGCTTGAATCCCAAAGCGTGTAGGATAGGAGGTGCTAGAACACAGAGCAGGAACGGAAGGGTCTGCTCCATCTTCATGGAGCACTCCACAAAGTGATGCTAACACTTGGAAACAAGAGGAAAGCAGTTTTACTGCTCTCCTACCAATACCTGAAGGGTAACACTGTGAAGGTGGTGCCAAAAGCTCAGAGGAAGGCACTCCACTCACAGACCCTCAAAAGTTTCATAATAAAACAGGAAAGGAAAGGAGGCATCAGAAGGGAGCAGGCAGCCTTCAAAGGGTGCAGTTCATGCCCAGGCAGGGAATAGAAAACAGAGAACAAACAGGGGTATGTTAAACATAAAACCACAAATAGGAGAATGTTAAATATAAAACCATAATGAGGGAGTATAAAAAAAAAGGATGAGAATGAAATAGCTTCCTGAAAGAACATAAAAGGAACTAATTAAAAACTTCAGATGCAGCCTCAGCAAAGGTGTTCTGCCAGGTGGTCTGAGTCCAGGGCTTGTAAGTGGTAGGGTGTAAAATGAGCATTTCAGACAGATATGGCCAGAGTGTAAAAATCCCTGGGTGAATTACCTGCGTCTTTCCTTGCTCTTAAAATTGGGAGTGTTCTCACGCATTTTGTAGAGGTGAGGCATACACGCAATAATGGGTAGTAAAAGTGAGAAATTTCCACACTCAAATATTGTTTCATGTCTGACTGGCTTTAGAAATTACCTAATTGCCTTATTGCTTAAATTGACCTTCGTGCCCGAGTGGTGCATGTCCAGTGCCTCACAAAGCCTCAGAAGGGCCTGGGAAATACAGGGTACAAATCCCACGCCAGTTAATGAGGTTTCTGTGCTGGTCAAACTGTCTGAAACCACCAGTCAAAATAGCAGATAATGTCTCATTAAATATAACAGAAAATTTGGGTTGTGCATTTGTAAGGGAGTCTCATCTCCTGGTTGGCTAAAGCCAGGGTGTTGTTGACTTTTACAAAGTCCTTGAATTTCCAAGAAGCTTTTCAACAAAATCAGCTTTGTGAAGGTCAGGCTCATTTCTGCAGAGAGGCAGGAGGAAGCAATGAGTTGTATTAGGGAAGGGAAGCAGTGAGCTCCCTCGAGGGTCTGCAGGGACACGTGGGGTTCAGCACACTTGGGTGATTTGGAGAAGAGACGAGCAGCGAGCTGACTTTGCTGATGCTGTGAAATTATTCAGCCCAACCTCAGGTAGAACCAGGAGAAGTTGCAGAACAGCCTCTGGACACTGACTGATGGGAGGCAGAGTAGCACCCTTGGAAAACCTTCCAGAACAAACACGGAGAAAGGCAGAGGGCAGCAGTTCAAGCTGTGGTGAGCTTTCTGTCAGGCTGGGAGAGGCCTCAGAGACAGGGGTTTGGAAATGCCAGCTCAGCACCTGTCAAAAAAAAAAAAGGTGAAAGTCCTCCAGAGCAAAAGATCCAATTGGTGAGGTCAAACTCAGAGCAGACTGGAGACTTCCACACAGCCTGTGTTCCACACAGCCTTCTTGCAGACTACAAGGGAACAAGAAAAGGTGCAGAGGGTGAACAGAGTTGCCTGGGGGTTTGGGCAGGTTTGCTTCAGTGCAGAGCAACGGGGGCTCTTTAGCTTGGAAACAGGAGGACATGTCAGGCTGCAACACTGTGAGTGATGCAGAGAGCACGGAGGAGCAATGAGCCAACATGTGTGTGTGTCACTGAGGACAAGAGAGGACAGGGATGTGTTCTGTTCCCCAAGGTTCAAAGCCTGGGGAAGGCAGAGACTTGTACATTCACATTATCAGCTCAGCTGATAACGCACCACAGTGGTGCGTGGGAGGCTTGCATCAGCGCTGGAGTCAGTTTTGTCCCCTTGTAGCATAATGAGGATGGAAGGAACAGGCAGCTTTGTTCTGGGGCAGAAACTTTGGATTGAACTTGCTTTAATGCTGGCAGCTGCTCTGCTTGTACTGCCTTGAGCAGGCTCCTCCCAGCCCTGCTGTGGCTCAGCATGACCCGTATGGGTGGTGCCACAAACTACAACAATAACTTGAATGCTTTGGCCGAGTCCAGATCAGATTTAGAAATGCTTAAAATAGTTTCCCTGTGAAGCAGGTCAGGTTTGGACTAGCACAGGGAGCAACCTCTAAACCATGGTCACAAGGGAGAGCCTGCACAGGTGTGGGAGGGGATGGTTTTCTCTTCCGTCCCAGTTGTGGTTCAGAAAGGAGCCTATAGTGTCTCAGCACCTGCACTCAGACTTTCACTCTGTTTTCAAGAGCCATTGGTTTAGTAAGCTGGCAGTGAGATGCTGAATGGAGCTTGTCCCTCGCACAAGACCTGTGACATGTTCGACACTGTACCTTTGTTAGCTGTAGTGTTGCTGGTTTGCTCTGCCACTGGAGGAGCTGTTCCTGCAGAGCACAGTCCAGTTCAGGTGTGACACCAGCACATGTGTCAGTAGTGCTGCATCACCAGCTGGGAGAGGCTTGGAAGAGGGACACCTCTGCTCTCAGGAAGGCGGGTGAATCTCCCTGTGTCACCAGCACAGGCAGGACTTCCCTGTTTCTCTCTACCCACTGCCTGGGCAAAGCAGCCAGTCCACAGGTGGGTTACAGGGTGTGACCATAGACAGCCTGACAGCTCACCTCTGACAACAAGGCAGAGTCCAGCCTGGCACGTTTGTGCATGGCCCCTCTGCAGGAGCTTGCCCTACACACAGAAAGCCTGCACGGAGGCCTGCCTGCCTGGCCTCTGTCTCCTGTGGGGGTACCCACAACAGGGAGCATGAGCACACTGATGGTTTTGTCTCTGCAGGACATCAACGCGTATAATGGGGAGCAGCCTGAGGAGAAACTCCCTTTCCCCATCATTGCTGATGCAAACCGGGAGCTCTCTGTCAAGCTGGGCATGCTGGACCCAGATGAGCGGGACAAGGACGGCATGCCCCTGACTGCTCGTGTGGTGAGTACCTGGCCCTGGAGCACCACTGCCTGGTAGGCTTCTCAGCAGCAGGCATTGCCTGCCATCCCACCCTGTGTCCGTGGGGCTGGGCTTGAAGATGGGGGAAGCTTACCTGCATGAACATGACCATCTTCAGGAGCTAGGTTGACTTCCTTGGGCTAGATTCATGGGTTGTGCTGCAGGAAGAGGCTGGCAGTGCCCTGGCTTGCTGGCAACAGCTCTATCTTGCTGCTGTTGTCAGCTCCTCCGGGTTGTGCCTGTTCTAAAACAGAGGGGACATAAGTGCTTGATCTGCTGGGCTGTCCCCTCTCCCGACCCACACTGACGTTAGAAGGACACAGGTCAAGGGGAGGAAACATTTCGAGTAGCAAAACAAGCTGGCATTGGAAACCGGAGCTCCCAGAGCAAACACCATGTTCCTTGTGCCTGGGCACCATTTGTTGCTCTAGATCCCCAGTGGCATCTCCCCTGTCCCAACACCTGCGATCAAGCAGGCCACCTCCCAGGAAAGGGGGAAAAAGCATCTTCTGCCCAGCCTCTGACCCTATCTCCCTGTGCTCAGGTGTTCATTTTTGGTCCGGATAAGAAGCTGAAACTCTCCATCCTGTACCCAGCCACCACTGGGAGAAACTTTGATGAAATCCTGAGAGTGGTGGACTCCCTGCAGCTGACAGCGTACAAGAAGGTTGCTACCCCTGTGGACTGGAAGGTGAGGAGGCGAGCAAAGCTCACAGCCAGGCACTGAAAACATGCATTAAAATGTCAACCATCATCTGTTGGCGGGGAACCACGGGGTGGGGAAAGCTAGTCAGTGTTTCCTCAGCCCAGCAGAGCTGCTCAGCTCTTGGACCTGTCCTGCCACTCACTTTGATCACTGTTACGAGGGAAGCCTGTGTGTCTGGAACCAGAGGACACGCTCTGCTGTTACAGGGTGTCCTGGAGAAGTCCTCTGTTAGGAGGCAGGACCAGGCTCCCAGAGCATTGTCCCAAACACCCGCTCCATCTGGGCAGGAAGGTATCAGTGCACTTCACTGTGCTTCTCTACCCCTCAACACCAGTGTCCATGTGCTGAGTGTACAACAAACTGCACCTGCACTTCTGAGGCCAAGCAGAGCGTGGAGGCAGCCTTGCCTCTTAAAAGTCCCATCTCCTGCGGCATAGGCTCTCAGCAGCATGGGGCCAACTCGCCCACCAGCCCAGCTCACCTCCCAGGGAAGCACAACTTTCCCCAGGCTTGGCACGCCATGGAGGAGCCAGCGCCACCTGTCCAGAGGTGCCTGAGCAATAGGAATGGATGAAGAGACTCGGGCAAGCTGTGCTCCTGCCTGCACTGTAGAGATGCCCAAATTTCCCTCTTAGTATTCCCTGTTCTTGTGGGAGTGCTGCAGGGAAGAGCTGGGCTGTGGGATCCCATTGGCAGGGCCAGCAGACGGCACAGCTCTCCCTTTCAGCATCACCCACACCTGGTGTAGCTCCTGCTCAGTCCTCACTGCTGGCTGCAGGCAGAGCTGCAGTGGATGTGCCTGGGGTGCTGGGGCTGAGCGTTCGTAGAGAGGCGATGTCACCTGCCAGCAGGAACACACCACCTATATCCAAGCCTGCCAGTTCCTCTGCTGCTCTCACAGTTCCCATTTGCTCCCCAGCCTGGTGACAGCGTCATGGTCGTGCCCACCTTACCTGATGAGGAAGCCAAGAAGCTCTTTCCCAAAGGAGTCTTCACGAAGGACCTCCCGTCGGGCAAGAAGTACCTGCGGTACACGCCACAGCCAGAGTGAGCAGGTGTGCCCATCCTGCCGGGCTGCGGGTCGTTCAGCATAGGGAAAACTTCCCTGTGCCCAGCTCCTGCCTCCCTGGCACTGCACAATCAGCAGCCTTGCACCGTCACACTGCTGGTGCATCGCAATACTAAACCAATCCTCCCCATCCCTTTCATCCCCCACTTCCCCTTGAAACTAAAACCCTGGATGTTTTCTTGCCTTGAATCAGCCCTGCAAGGAAGAGGTGAGCAGACCAGTGGGGGCTCCAGGGTTCACTCTGTGGAGTCTCCTGTTTGGCACCAGTTGAGCTTTTCCCAGAGGCACAGTGAGGAGGGTGGTGTCCACAGCCAGGCCCTGGAAGGGTGTCCTGAGCTCACACCTCCCATCATGGAGCTTCGGGGGCTGCAAACTGCTGTGTGCCTTTTGGAGCAGCCGTCACTAACACATTAACACCTTTGGTCCTGTGCATAGGGGAGGAGCTGCAGAGCCAAATCTCTCACTTCTTACTGCTTTCTCATCTCTTGCTGGAAGTTGGTTGTTTTCAGGTTTTATGGAAGAGGGAATAGAGCAAATAAAGTGATCTTCAGTACTACCTGCAGCGTCCCTCGTCTGCTGGTGCCCACAACACCCTGCACCATTTACTTTGTTCCCTGTGGCTGTGCAGCTGGGACGTGTCCCCGTGCTCCTGGGTGGGTGGCAGTGGCATGGCCTGCCCTTGTCCTTGCTCTGTAAATGAGACACTTTGGAAATGCAGGTTGTCCCAGGGTACACCATTTCAGTCAAAGCAGCAAGTCCCAGGGCAGTTGCGCTGCCCCTGCTTTATAGCAGAACCTTGGTGGTGGGAAGGAGATGTCTGCTCAGGGAGCACACCTCAGCCTGATCCTACCCTGCATCCCAGGGCTCGAGCAGGCATGGTACAAGCCATGCAAATTCCTCCCTGCTCTCCCACACCTGCACCTCAAGGATCTGTCAAGAGAGGAGCGATGTTTTAATATAACGGTAGGAAAGAAACCTGCTCACCAAATAGCTCATAGGCTGCCTGCCAGCATCCCTCGGTGCCCAGCACAATCAGCAATGCTCAAAATGAGCAGCTGTTACGGAAATTGGCTGGCTTGGGGCACAAATGTATCTCACAGGGGTCTGATGCTCGTGATAAGCAATGCACTGGATGCAGTGAGATTCCCTCCAGCATCGCGCAGGTCCTAATCCCGGGGCAGCACCTGCAGCCACCTGGGATGTGGCCTCAGACAACGTCCAGGGCTGTCAGCTCCTACCACCCCTCGCTGTCGTCCTTCCCAGCGGCCAGGCCAGGCCAGGCCACCCCGCTGAGGGCATCCTTCCCAAACGTGGCTGCATTTCAGAGAACTCCCTTTCATTACCAAAAAAAGGTTTATATTCAGATTTAATTGCCTTCCAGAACTATAAAGTGAATATTGGTATTTTTCTCCAAATGACTTTTAAATGAACCTTCCTTATGAAATTCTGCATTGTCCCCATGTATTATTTTTACTAGAAGATTACACCACCTGGTCTCGGGGTTGACTTTCATTCCCCCTCTTTCACTCTGCAAGAAGCAGGAGGGGGAAGCTGCAGTTCCGAAGGGAAAACTTCTCTTTGCTGTGTCATTTTTCAGCCTTATCAAGCTTGGCAGCTTCCCTAGTTCCCCATGGCTGGGCTGCGTGAACTCCTGGGTTTCTTGCTGTTCCCTTGGCACACAGCCCTCGCCTTGATCCAGTTTCCTAAGGGAAAAAGGGTTCTCTTCCCCCCTCCACCCGAGCTTTCCAAACAGCTGCCCAACTTCCTGGAAGCTTGCAGACATGGCCCCACGGCAAGCTTTGTGTCAACGGTGCTCTGAGCATCCCCAGGGTGAGCCCAACCTCTCAGGGACACCAGGGAAGCCACCTGCAAGTCGGGACATGGGGGAATGGGTCCCGTCACCAGACCCAGAGGTCCCACTGCCGAGCCAGGCAGGGGCTGATGGCCGAAAGCCACCAATTCCTGCCTGTTCCCCTGTGCCACCATGGCCCCAGAGGTGTGAGCCAGTCAGACAGACCCAAACAAACACAGGGTTTGGTTCCAGTACAGCTCGAGTTTTCTTTTAATCCCAGAGAAGTGAAATGCAACATTTGTCCGAGTTGGTAATAACATCCAGAGACAGAAATCCAAGCCCCCTACTCAGTAAAGTCATTTGTGTTTAAGGCACTCTGCAAAACCAGCTTTCCTCTTCTCCTTCCGATTTTCCCTACGCGGCAGCAGAATACCTGGTTTGGTCTCTTCTCCATAGCAACACCCACACGTCCTGGCTCTTCTCACCATCTCCAGGAATTGGCAACAGCAAATCCAGCGGGAGCTGAACGGAGAAACGCCGGGAGGCCATAAATAGCAACGGGCACGGGAGGGAGCACAGCGCCTGGGGAGGGGGCACGGAGGCTTCGGGCTTCCGCGGGAAGGGGATGGGCACGGGGTGTCCTCCCTGCAGGCACCAACATGATTCCCCTTCCTTTCTCCCTTCCCGGCTCTGAAAGGGGCTGGGACTGCAGGGGCCCGCAAGCATCCCTCCCCAGCGGCGCTCCCGAACACATGGCAGCACCCCGAAATGCAGGGGGCTGGGTG